AAAAACCAAAATGCAGCTACAACGGCTTCTTTTCAGTCAAACGGTGTCAATTGTTGTCTGGTCCATTTGTGTCCAAAACTGCGGGCAATCGAAATGATCTGAGGAATGCATTCGCGGTATCTAGGTTCCTGAAGGGTATGAAGGGCGAGCAGGTCTTGAACTTGAGGAAGTTGAAGTTCACGAGGAAAAGTATTTTGTAAAATTAGACGTGTTCGAGCAATGAGACCTGTATACATGGAGCTTCTAGGTCCAAAACCAGCGGAAGTGCGTATCACTGTGTCCCAAGGCAATACCGATGTAATGGTACGTTGATGTGGATTGATGTTGAATCCAAGTGCATCAAAACCCTGTACTTCTTCCAAAAGAATGGGCGAGGTGTAGAAGTCTAAATTCCAAAAGCAAGTTTGTCGAAGGCGATCAGTGAGTTGTTGTGGACCCAAAAGCAGACGGTTGTCAACATAACGAAAGGAACTAAAAAGTTTTCCAGAAAAAATGGCTTGTCCAAAAGGCATGCTGTAGGTGTGCTCTCGATGTAGGGCAACTAGTGAACATACAACTGGGGCCCACTGTGAGCCCATAGATGCGCCTTGTATCTGTCGGTAGCTAACACATCCCAGTGAAAATAAGCTATGGCGAAGGAGGTACTTCACAAGACTATGGTCTCAATTATTGGATTGGTTTGAAGTGTTCGCTCAGTAGAAAACCTCGAAAACATGAATCAAGATCGTACACACATCTGCAGCGATAAGGTCCCTACCGTGTTTGACATTCTGCTTGGTTCGAGCATCACAAACTATGTGTGTCCGCACACTTTTGTGATAGGTCTTCCTATATTCTAGATCTCTTCAAATTGATCTCTTGTCCTCACAATTGTAAATTGATTTGAAAGAGAAGGTGGAAACTCATAAAATGACAGTAAGAAGTAGGGTTCCCGGCCAATAAAATCCTTCGGCACATGGCCACCTTCGCCCTATGGGCACCATTCGCCCGTTGGGCACTCCTTCGGCTTATGCCACCCTTCAATTGTCCTTGACCCCCCTTCGGCTATTGCCATCACTTCTAGCAGCCCCTATGGCTACTCGCTCAACTTCTGCCTCCGTAGAGGGCGGATTCGGCACACTATGCCAAGATTGTTCTTCCCCATTAGGGATGATGAGGTCATGGTCTGTATAGGACACATGACTAATGCACACTGTTGATTTTTGGAAGTGAACTGCAATGACGATGTGGTTGTACATGCCTGGTAGAATCCTGAGTCCATCATCCTTGATAAACAGGTGAAACCAGGTCCAAATCATTAATCGGCAAGGTGGTTCTTGGGTTAGCCACATCCCATCGCGGAAATGGAAAGACATGATTAGGCAGGTACGTCGATCCAGCGTCCCGGATCGATATCACAGAATGTCATAGCCGTCTTCGTTGGCTGCAGAACTATGACATTCCCTGCAGCCCCCTGCTGTTAAGTAGTCTTTGGCGCATGACTTCGGAAAACATAACGTGCATAGTCTTTGGCGCATGAATTCGGAAAACATAACGTGCATAGTCATCAAATGTCCAGTTGTAGTTTTCTGCATGTGAATAGCAGTGTACACACACACACACGCATAGAGATATGTATATATATAATTTGAAAAATGATAAGAATCATATCATATCCAACCATGTATACACTTGTAATATTCGAAATTCCCTTACGAAGGGGCTACAGCACCATCCGCATCCAACAACCTCGAAGCATGGGATTTGCATATGTTCGGCGCCTCCAAGCGGGCGACTTTGTTCTGGCTGAGTGGCCTCAGTTGGAAGCTGGGGGAAGGTGCCACGGATTGCCACGGTGTCCAGTGTCCCAATTTGAAAGGAGTGAGGGAAACTGGAAATGAAATGGGAATCATTTCTAGCACTGTACTTGAAATCAACTTGCAAGTTGGAAATCAACTTTGTCATTTGTTTCAAAATTGTCACAGCATTTAACAGCATTTTTGAATCGCCAGCCAAGGCAACCAAGGTGTTGCCACTTTCGACAATTTCTCCCACCTCGTCCTCAGCTTCGCCAGTCCCCACTCCTGGCGGGAGATATCCTAAATGTATCCTACACATGATCAATCTTTGGCACTAGAGTGAAAATCCGACAATGGAAGGACTGTGGCATTTTGATGAATTTTGAGTGTGCCTAGGGTTTTCTTTAAACCGGCCCCTTTCACTTTTCCAGCGCTTTCCCTGCGGAACTCAGCCGGTTCTACGAACACTTAAATTTTAAATGGCAAACAGCCCCCAGGGCAACCGTTCAGCCACGAACAGACCGTTTGATCTCTTTTGGACTACATACATACATATATATATATATATACATATATGTGTGTGTGTGAGCAGCTGGTTCGAACATCCCAAACCTTCAAATCATGTCAAATCAGCGACATAGAACTGGCAGCATCTGAAGCGGAGAAAAAAAAAGAGCAACTTATACAGATACAGCATGTAGAAACTCACCAGCCAAATCCCTCTGTAGAGATCTATGCAATGAGATCCTTTGTATGATTCTATATGCACCTGATTATTGTTAATTATATATATATATATGTATGTATAAATATATAGAAATTATATATTATATATGCGCATTCCAAATCTAGAATGACCTAGAATGGTTGTAGTATCCAAACTCCAAACATTACATCACCTCACCATCCTCACACCTCGGCTGTCCAAAGGGACTGTTTCACCATCGCTGGGCCTCGGCTGTTTCGAATTAAACAATGGATTTGGTGGATGTTGCATGGGAAAAAGATGGAAAACAACTGATCCAAATTGATCCAAATTGCAGTAACAAAATTCAGGGATGGAGAATAATTATATAATGCAACCACATCTAACCACATGTTGTTTCTGTGCACTTGGGGATATACTTAGTGATATCTGGGTAAATCTGGGCCGGCCAATGCAATCCCAAACCGGGGGGGACAGCCACGAACACCGCATTTTCTCCTCGCGAAGCTCAGCTATTTTTGCCGACTTTTGCACCTGGGGAACCAGCGCAGCCAGGAGGGGGTGGCGGTTCTTACTTCAACTTATTACTGAGAAATACTGTTGTTGCTGTTGTGTGTCTTCCTGTTCTTATCTTACGAGATTTTGCTAATTACTCTTGTCATCATCTTTTCGATATTCTTCTGGTGGTGGTTGTGGTTGTGGTTGTTGTTGTTGGTGGTGGTGGTTTAATCAGTTGCTGCTCTTTTATTTATAGCTTAGCCCCGTCCCTGGGGACAAATGACCAACAGCAGAATTAAGCAGGGGCGGATTCTCCCTTGAAAAAAACCTGCCCGCGGCCAAACTCTCCAACCATCTCCAACCTTTGCTTCGCCAACTTGTTGGAACTGCGGCATCTCTGCTGTTCCCTATCTCTTGGAAGATATGGGGGTACCTTTCAGCCAGTGGGTTTCACAGTATGCCTCCCACCTCGATGCCAAGCAAGATCTCGTTGAGCTGCTTCACCATCTGGGTGCCGCTGCAAGAGCCATACCCAGGGGGCTGAAGGTGATGTCATGGCCACTGGAACATAGCTATACCCAGGCATACCCAAGCAATAACCGAGTTTGTCCGAACATAGGGCCATAGGGTAACCCAGAATCTCAAGAATCTCATGGCAAATGATTATGTTCCCATTGAAAGGGTCATTTTGGTTGTATCCCCCTTTTTTGGACCAGCCCAACTATTATGGGCCGCATCAAGAGAACCTAACTCAGTTCCATACGATGCCCGGTAATTCTGGGGTACAAGCGGTGTTCCTCAGGGGACCCTAAAACGAGACTTACCATCCACCCAAGCAACATAGATCATGCCAAATATATATATATATATATACACATAGGGGATTGCGATGATTGCAAGATGTATTTCCCCTCAAAGTAAGCATGAAAGCAATTCAACTGGGTAGGTGTGATGGACATGGCAGGGATTGATCCGGTTTGGTCTGAAACCCTTCGCTGATGTCCCGGAAGGTGCCTTCGGTAAGGCAAACCTTGCAGCCAATTTCAAACCTGTCGGCACTCGGATCCAGGTGGGATCTATGTTGCTGGGCACAGGAAGATACAGCTAGGTTTTCCTGGCAAAAAAGATGCAAAATGGGTACAGAAAATATATGAAAATATCAAGTAACTAGGGACACTGTGATCTGATATGATCCTACTTAAACGATTTAGATTTTCTGGGTACGCAACAGGCACCCCACTATTCACACCCTGCCAGGATAGGATGTGAATGAATATCATCACCCTGCCATGTGCCAGTCTTTGCCTTGCTGATGTGCAATGCTTGCTGGTTTCCGGGATGTGTTGAGCAAAAGAAATGCAGTGCTGTTCCTACTAACTCACCAGATTTGATTCCTGTCAATCAAGACGAATTAGATCGAATTAGGATGCAATATGGATATGTCTGGGTCAATAAATTGAACCAACGGATTAAAAGAACCGGCATCACATGGTTTTACTATAGGGTGGCTTTCCTAAAATGGGACAATTATCCCCAAAACAATGGGTTTCAATACCAAAATGGTCTAATTTGGATGATTTGGGGGTGCCCCCATTTTAGGAAACCTCCATATACCCATTCAAAATCATTCCATTCTCCAAAATTCCTCCTTTTCACCTGCACGCTGCGACGGCAGGGTGGCCGGCTTTGCCACCATCTTTGCGCCATCGACGGGTGGTACAACCAACTGCAAATCGTTGGGGAACAAACAATAACCATTCTTGCGGTGTTCACCCATTTGAGAAATGTTAGAATTCACTATTTATAACAGTTCATTTTCGCGGAATAAACGAGATACGAAGATTCGAGAGGGAGCGGTCGATAATTTAGATTCATTGAGTTTGCCCCCCCAAAAATGGTTCAAATTTCCAGCGCAGTAATGAATATAATGAATAGTAAGGAATAATTAAACATAATTAAACCATCCAAAACTTTAAGAATGGCAAGGAAAGTCACAGGGCTGCTGAATCTCCCGCCCCTCACAGATGTTCTGGCTCTTCTGCCGCAGCAGGTAGGTCGAAAGGTTCTGGAAAGAACCCTGCCACCTGGTGAGGTTTTCAGGGCCCCTTTGGTCCAACTTGCAATGCCGGTTAAGAAAGAAACTGTGATGATTTATCATTTTTGGAAATGCAGTTACATCCAATAATTTACCGTCCACCTTTATTAATCCCAAAAAAATGATGCTTTGTTGACTGCGTAAAAAATGGGCAGATTTGTGGTTTCTTGTTGAACACGAATCGTGAATGGTGCAAATCCAAGACTGATAAGACTGTGCCTTGGAAACATTTCAGGATCGGAACCCCAGCATGAATCTTCACCCGTGGTCCCAACAAAATGGCCCCTACCTTCACAGAAATATGAGGGACATACTCTGAACATCTCAGAACTGCGCCAAGAGAACCGTTGATTGATGGTGATTGTCTATAATTACTAAAAATGTCTATATGTTTCATGGATGTGTTCAGATGCATGTGCATACAATCCATAATCATTTTGAGTTATGAGGATACCGTGGCCCGTGCCTCGTGATGATGACATCCCGTCATAGGAGTTTGCATTGCCAACAGTTCCTCCACACCTCTGGGTGGATCACCTCAGCAGTTGCAAGATCGGAGTTGCCCCTTTGGTGGATCCCAAATGGGTTAATTGATGTTAATTGAATATATGTATGTATATATATATCTTTATTTATTTATTAATTATTATAAGTCAGTCATCTATTTAGCATCTCCAAACGTTCATACCAAATACCCAGCCCATGCCGCGGCGAAAGTTTCGACAATTTGCAATAACTATATACGAAAACTCCTGGCCTATAGGAACGTTTTTGAGATGCAGAAGTAATGAATTGTTGACGTCGTGGCGTGCATCAAGGAATGAGCAAATGGGGTTGAGATGCGAATGAAATGACGTGAAAGAATCCATGCACAACTGACCGGATGAACCAATGAATCAATGAACCATGTGAATGTGAAATAGTCAGACGATGAATCAATGAATCAACGAGTCAGTGAATGAATGAACAAATAAAATAGAAATGAAAATGACAATATGAATGAATGAATGAATGAATGAATGAAGGAATGATGGAATGAATGGAATGAATGGAATGAATGAATGAATGGAATGAATGAAATGAATGGAATGAATGGAATGAATGAAATGAATGGAATGAATGAAATGAATGGACTGAATGGACTGAATGAAATGAATGAAATGAATGAAATGAATGAAATGAATGAAATGAATGAAATGAATGAAATGAATGAAATGAATGAAATGAATGAAATGAATGAAATGAATGAAATGAATGAATTGAATGAAATGAATGCAATGAATGAAATGAATGAAATGAATGAAATGAATGAAATGAATGAAATGAATGAAATGAATGAAATGAAAGAAATGAATGAAATGAATGAAATGAATGAAATGAATGAAATGAATGAAATGAATGAAATGAATGAAATGAATGAAATGAATGAAATGAATGAAATGAATGAATGAATGAATGAATGAAATGCATGAAATGAATGAATGAAATGAATGAAATGAATGAATGAATGAATGAATGAAATGAATGAAATGAATGAAATGAATGAAATGAATGAAATGAATGAAATGAATGAAATGAATGAACGAATGAATGAATGAAAGAATGAAATGAATGAATGAATGAATGAATGAATCAATGAATGAATGAATGAATGAATGAGAATGAAATGAATGAAATGAATGAAATGAATGAAATGAATGAATGAATGCAATGAATGCAATGAATGAATGAAATGAATGCAATGAATGCAATGAATGCAATGAATGCAATGAATGCAATGAATGCAATGAATGCAATGAATGCAATGAATGCAATGAATGCAATGAATGCATGAAATGAATGCAATGAATGCAATGAATGCAATGAATGCAATGAATGCAATGAATGAGATGAATGAAATGAATGCAATGAATGCAATGAATGCAATGAATGCAATGAATGCAATGAATGAGATGAATGCAATGAATGCAATGAATGCAATGAACGCAGATGAATGAGATGAATGAGATGAATGAGATGAATGAGATGAATGAGATGAATGAGATGAATGAGATGAATGATGATGAATGAATGATGAATGATGAATGAATGAATGAAATGAATGAAATGAATGAATGAATGATGAATGAAATGAATGAAATGAATGAAATGAATGATGAATGAAATGATGAAATGAATGAAATGAATGAAATGAATGAAATGAATGAAATGAATGAAATGAATGAAATGAATGAAATGAATGAAATGAATGAAATGAATGAAATGAATGAATTGAATGAATGAATGAATGAATGAATGAATGCATGAATGGATGGATGGATGGATGGATAGATAGATGGAAGGAGGAGTGAGCTACTTCTTTGTTGAGCTACTTCTTCACTGAGCAACCTCTTCGCTGAGGTACCTCTCTCTCTCTCTCCCCTCGCTGGGCGTACCTGTCTATCTGATCGCTTCACAGAGGCGCCCGGTGAACTAGAGATCAAGGCACTTCAGCCCAGGCCAACTGCAAGGTATGAAGCTGAACAAAATGAAGGAATACAAGGTGAAATGCGATCATCTGCCTGGAGGCATGGACCTCTTGTCTCAGCTACTTCTTCTTTGAGCAGCCTATTATCTGGGCCACTTCTTCACTTCTCTGAACCTGCTAGCGAGCTGCCTCTGAGCTAGCGCTTCTGTATAGCTTCTGCAACCCAATTCTTCAATTCGCGTGGCTGTTACACTTGCGTTTAGCAACCTCCAGCTGCAATCCCGCTTGCCAGGAGCGCCGCGGCATCACTGAATGATCTGAACGCTTTGCTGCGCGCAGCCGTGCCAATGCGTTTTGTCATAGCCAGCTGCAAACCCGCATAATCGGGGAGGACTCCATGCTACAATACTCAGTGCATTGCCTTTCTTTACGATTTTTTCGTGAAACCGAGCTCTCGCTACAGTCTCGTACACTTTTTTCTGACCTCGTCTTACCAAAGTGCGCCGACACCGCCAGTTGTTAACGTTTTGAAGTGCAAATCGAGCTCTCGCTACAGTGCTGCGCACCTTTTGTCAACAAATTTCCCCAATCGAGGCCCGCAACCGCGGAAACAGATACCCTACTTCGGCGACCCCAGAAGCCACATTAAAAACGCAGGGTTTCGCGCCCGAGAGTGCTTTCACCCGTGAATTCGCACGCTTCCGAACTGTTACACTTCCCAACTACTTAGGTGGTTGACATGATGATGTGGTTGACATGACGGTATGAATGCTAACCATGACCATCGTCCGTAACTCGGAAGTTTTCAAACTAAACTTCCTTTGATATCCTTTGATTATATACTGTTCTTATTTTTATTGACCGTTTCATACGATGACACCATATTGATCCATACTGCTTAATTCAAATCCCATTCCACTGTGCAATGGGGAAACTCCTACCAATGCTCACAACAGGGAGAAACACCAGAGAGAACCAGACTTTGCCCCATGTTCAATGACCAGAGTCAGTCATGAAGAAGGACACCAGGGAATCATACATAACTCAGATTCCACCTTCGATAGTTGCTGGAGCAAAGATTCTTCACTCAAATATATGTATATATATATAATATAAATTAAACAAATATAATTATATATATATATATGATCGGACACCGTGGCAAGCCAGTGGGAATATCATGTGCTCTACTGCTGTTGCTTCATGCTTATGCTTTCGTACTTGCCACAAAATCGAACGTATGGGTACTGTAAGTCATACGGTCATACATAAAGAAACACGGATTGCACTACCGAAACGCCATGTCAGACATGGAAGTATTTAGTCCCAAAATCACCTGGGTTCTCCCCCATTCGTTCTCCATTCGATACACTAATTTGTGTGAGATCCAGTGTTTTGCAGCGAATTGGTATTTCAGGATTTCAAGGAAATCTGCGGGAACTCCTGACCAAATTGGGAGACCAGCCAGTCATTTTCCTATAGATTTTCTCTTCGAATCGATCCAAGCTACGTGCAAAGGTGAGCCAACCGCGACGACGGCACACAGCCAGAAGCCCATGAAGACCAACCCCCAGCACCTGCGAGTCCAAGGTGGGTTTGTCTAGAAATTGTAGTGGTTAGTATACTCCCAAATGATCATTAACTGCCTAGTTTTAGAGGGACACAACAATTCTTCCATGTGTGTCTCCCAATCTGAAGTCACAACTTTGCGGAATTGCGTGCTGAAACAATTGCAACCGTTATGCAGCAAAACCAGATTCAAAGGAAAACAAATGATCTATACAACACATATATAAGGGCATATATAATACATATATAATTAATTGGAAATATGGGCAGCCTTTTTGCACAGAAAGAATCCGGAACAGAATGTTGACTTGGCAACTTGCCTTGATATACCATCTCATCTCCCCCATCTGCCAGAGGCACGGGAGCGGCAATGAGGCAAGTCATCTGCCGCCAGTCGCCCCGGATGAAAGGCAATGCTAATAGCACGAAGCAAAACCTCAGATGAGCCATGTTCTAGATTGTATATAGGCTCAATCGTGGCTTAATTTTACCATATTTTACCCGTATAGTACCGTATAGCCCGTATAGCCTATACTCAGATCCCACCTCGGATGCCACGGAAACCAGAGGATTGGTGGATTTGCGGCAAGAACCCAATGATGTTGGTGTTTCTATCCTTTCCACAGGCAATGTCCACGACTCCTCTTTCTGGAATTCAGGAAATGAAATCATGGCAGCATAGCCCACCATGGGGACCCAAAGCCACTACTTATTGGGTTGCATTTTGACCAATGAGGTCGAGCTGTTCCCCTACTCGGCGTTGGTCATTGCTTTTTGTGGACTTGGGCGTGTCCGTGGAATGAGGGCCCAAAAGAAGAATCCGAAGCAATTTCTTTGTGTGGTTTTGAATCATGGCCAAATCTATGGACCCATCCGTGCCCCATTTTTGGTCACCGTCCCTCTACAGATTCAAATTGTGCCCTGGATTTCCTGGACACCGCAGCTTCGCCAGGCAGCACAATGGGCAAGAAAAGCATGGCAATGCAGCTGCTGAGGGACGTCAACCTCAGGTAGGGGATGATCCCATCAAAGGATGCTGGGAACCACTGGGAACCACTGGGAACCACTGGGAACCGCACGGAACTCGGAAGGGCCGTGGTAACTTGGGATGGGCCCGACGTAGCTGCAGAAATGCCTCGGCCATCAACTAGTTGCTGCACCAGTTGAGGGTGGGTACCAGTCCGGATCCATTGTACACAAGATGGACGGCGGAAATAGTTTGAGCAGGGTTCTTTTCCCTTTTCTTTCGGGGTTTCTAAAATTGTAGTACCTGGTGCCGTTTCATCCCCTAACGTTCAGCAGCTCTGAAGATGGCAGCTGCCAGTAAGATTGTGTACTGTATTTGTCACCAGCAGCTGCTGCAGTCACACGAAAGGGGATGTTTGGTGATGTCAGCCCATCTGGCAAAAGCAATCAATTGCATGCACCTTTGACACATTTGTGAGTTCTTTAATAATATGATGATTCACCATGAGCCACCCATAGAGATTAGAGATGACATGGAACTCCTGTCCTGCCAGCCAAATGCTCTCTGACACTCAGTTCTTCCCTCCATCTTCATCCAAGACACCAAGAATTCCAAGAGCTGTGCCTGGCAATAGATTCCTTGGCACCCAGCTGAGCACAGAGTCCCAATTGTACCCACTTGGGAGTTGGCACTGCACCACTGAAAGGTCCTCAAAGACAACAAACTAGGAGCCTCTGGATCCCGTTCAGTGTCGTTTCGTGGGCATCGGTCATTTCACCACTTGCACCCCGGCGCCAAAGTACTCACGTCAAAGAAATGCACAGAATAGACTGACTATCTATGTTGTGACTTCATCTATTCCCTTTCCACTACTGTAATTTACTCCAGATATTTTGTATTGGCCCTCAGTCATCCCCAGCTATCCTCACTTCGTCACCTCCGACCCAACACCGCCACTTTTCCTACGCCGTGCCATCTTTGCCCAACAGCTCCACTGGCTCTCAGCATTCTCAGCAAATGGCAGGTGCGCAAGATGCGATCTTGGGCCAAAGCTCTGCGCACTCCTTCGGGCTCACAAGGAAAACAAGCTAAAAATAGCATGCCAAGACGTGAGTTGGAAATTGTTTGCCTATTGTCCAAAGCCATTTGTTTAGTCTTGAGGGCTTGCATTTCAAGCTAGTTTCTACGTCATTCCCGAGACTTTGTTGCAATTTTCCAATGTTCTAGGTCATTTAGGCATGGTCTGAACCACTCATCCGCCCCTCTCCTTGGCCACAGGGCCCTGAATTGCCGAACCCTTCCTGAGCCAAGCTCCAAGCGGATTAAAAACTGCAAGCATCAGTCCCCTCTGGACTAATCCAGACATGTGAAATTACATTGTTTTATGGAGAACATGATGGTGTACAGTTTTGCCACTGCATCAAATATCCACCCAGGCACAAGGGCCAAGTATCGGATCTGTTTATTTTGGGGGCCCACTTAGGATCAGCTGAGGGGAAAATCAAGAAAAGGGTGAAGACACTGGTTCACTCACATCATCTGTCAAAAGCGGCACTGGATACCCTGACCCTCACAAGCACTAACAAACCTATCTGAGGCACTTACGTGTGTGTGTGTGTGTCGTCTGTGATTGTGATTGTGATGAACTCAAATCCACTTTCCATGCAGAGAATTGACCTGGAGGTTCTCTGCAGGTTGTATTAACAGAGCGGCCGTGTTCAAAACCATTTTGGAATATTGCATTCATGGCTGCTTGCAGCTGAAAACGTGGATTAACTTGACTACATCCTACAGCACCCCCCAACTTAAACTGCAAAAAGTGGGAAGCCCCTTGAAACTCTCCTTCAGAGCTGAACATTTGTTTTCCAGAAACAAAGCACCATCAAATAGAACTAAGTGGCCAATGCATCCTCCATGGCACCATCCATTGGATCCATAGCACTATGGCGCACCATTCATGGCACCATGGCGTTGGCTCACAACTAACTGTTACTAAATCATCCAAGTTTCATCTCACCCTTGTCGTTGACGATGACCCCGGCATTGTCCTCGAAGTATACGAAGACTCCCTCACGGCGGCGCCAGGCCTGACAGTAGTCATAGCGTTCTTGAGAGTGCCAAGCTGATCATTACATGTCCATGATTGGCACAAGTACTGTACCCTATCCTATCAGAATATAATCAAAGGAAGTTTAGGGGGAGAAACTTCCGTGTTACGGACTTTTAGGAATGTCAGGGAAAGAGTTAGTCAAAGAAAGAGTTAGTGAGGGAAAGAGTTAGTCAAACAAAGAGGTAGTCAAAGAAACAGTTAGTCAGGGAAAGAGTTAGTCAAAGAAAGAGTTAGTGAGGGAAAGAGTTAGCAAAGAAACAGTTAGTCAAAGAAAGAGTTAGTCAAAGAAACAGTTAGTCAGGGAAAGAGTTAGTTAAAGAAAGAGTTAGTCAAAGAAAGAGTTAGTCAAAGAAACAGTTAGTCAGGGAAAGAGTTAGTCAAAGAAAGAGTTAGTCAAGGAAAGAGTTAGTCAAAGAAAGAGTTAGTCAAAGAAAGAGTTAGTCAAAGAAACAGTTAGTCAGGGAAAGAGTTAGTCAAAGAAAGAGTTAGTCAGGGAAAGAGTTAGGAAAGAGTTAGTCAAAGAAAGAGTTAGTCAAAGAAACAGTTAGTCAGGGAAAGAGTTAGTCAAAGAAAGAGTTAGTAGTAGCAAAGAGTTAGTCAGGGGAAGAGTTAGTCAAAGAAAGAGTTAGTCAAACAAAGAGTTAGTCAAAGAAACAGTTAGTCAGGGAAAGAGTTAGTCAAAGAAAGAGTTAGTGAGGGAAAGAGTTAGTCAAAGAAAGAGTTAGTCAAGAGTTAGTCAAGAAAGAGTTAGTCAAACAAAGAGTTAGTCAAAGAAACAGATAGTCAGGGAAAGAGTTAGTCAAAGAAAGAGTTAGTGAGGGTTAGCAAAGAAACAGTTAGTCAGGGAAAGAGTTAGTCAAAGAAACAGTTAGTCAGGGAAAGAGTTAGTCAAAGAAAGAGTTAAAACTCTAGGATCGTTCCCTCACTGCAAATGGCATTGCAAGTGGTGCTGGTGGAGGAGTTGCCGATGGAGTTTTGAAGGAAGTCTCGCACGAAATGCGTTTTTGAGAGATAGCAGATGCACGAAAGCCTATGTTTTTCCATACAAAGTCGTCCCCGAACCTCGATGATCTACCTCTGCTGTGCGACGGGTGCGAGACGGTCTCGTGTGGGTGCGGAGACGGTCTCGTGTGTGGTCGGATCATGCTCGGATATGTTCGGATCATGGTCGGATCGGTTCCGCATTGTAAATGGGGTTTCAAATGTTTTTCGTGCATGTGTGGTCGACAGAATTCCATTGTGGTTTGCAACTGTAGGATCGTTCCCGCATTGTAAATGGGGTTGCAAGTGGTGCTGGTGGATGAGTTGCGATGGAAGTCATTGTGATTGCAAACTCTAGGATCGTTTCCCTCACTGTAAATGGCATTGCAAGTGGTGCTGCTGGATGAGTTGCCGATGGAGTTTTGAAGGAAGTCTCGCACGAAATGCGTTTTTGAGAGATAGCAGATGCACGAAACCCTATGTTTTTCCATACAAAGTGCGTCCCCGAACCTCGATGATCTACCTCGGCGGTGCGACGGGTGCGAGACGGTCTCGTGTGTGGTCGGATCATGCTCGGATATGTTCGGATCATGGTCGGATCGGTTCCGCATTGTAAATGGGGTTTCAACATGGGGTTGCAAGTGGTGCTGGTGGATGAGTTGCTGATGGAAGTCCATTGTGATTTGCAACTCTAGGATCGTTCCCTCACTGTAAATGGCATTGCAAGTGGTACTGGTGGAGGAGTTGCCGATGGAGTTTTGGAGGAAGTCTCGCACGAAATGCGTTTTTGAGAGATAGCAGATGCACGAAACCCTATGTTTTTCCATACAAAGTCCGTCCCCGAACCTCGATGATCTACCTCTGCGGTGCGACGGGTGCGAGACGGTCTCGTGTGTGGTCGGATCATGTTCGGATCATGTTCGGATATGGTCGGATCGGTTCCGCATTGTAAATGGGGTTTCAACTGTGTTTCGTGCATGTGCGGTCGACAGAATTCCATTTGTGATTTGCAACTGTAGGATCGTTCCCGCAATGTAAATGGGATTGCAAGTGGTTGCTGCGTGGATGAGTTGCTGATGGAATTCCATTGTGATTTGCAACTGTAGGATCGTTCCCGCAATGTAAATGGGATTGCAAGTGGTGCTCCTGGATGAGTTGCCGATGAAATTCCATTGTGATTTGCAACTGTAGGATCGTTCCCGCAATGTAAATGGGATTGCAAGTGGTGCTCCTGGATGAGTTGCCGATGGAATTCCATTGCGCTTTGCAACTGTAGGATCGTTCCCGCAATGTAAATGGGATTGCAAGTGTTGCTTCCTCTTTTGGCTGCATGCGTAATACTATTGTCTTTTGCAGCTGGACTTCATAAATCGTATTGGAGTGGCTGCATGAAGGCTGCGACAGTGATTTGTCAGCAGATTTTCTCCATTTTGGCGCTAGTGATTTTCCTTCTAAAAATCCTTTTAAAAAGTGCTTCAAAATCGTTTTTTTTTCGCTCTGGCGTCGAGATCCGGTTTTGGAGCTACAATTTCCGACCCAGTTGCGCGTAGTTCTATTGTGTTTTGCAACTCAGTCTCTGCAGATCGCATAGTAATGGCTGCGTCAAGGTTGCTTCTTGCCACGGCTGCATGCGTAATACTATTGTCTTTTGCAGCTGGACTTCGTAAATCGTATTGGAGTGGCTGCATGAAGGCTGCGACAGTGATTTGTCAGCAGATTTTCTCCATTTTGGGGCTAGTAATTTTCCTTTTAAAAATCCTTTTAAAAAGTGCTTCAAAATCGTCTTTTTTTCGCTTTGGCGTCGAGATCCGGTTTTGGAGCTGCAATTTCCGACCCAGTTGCGCGTAGTTCTATTGTGCTTTGCAACTCAGTCTTTGCAGATCGCATTGTAATGGCTGCGTCAAGGTTGCTTGGTGCCGCGGCTGCATGCGTAATACTATTGTTTTTTGCAGCTGGACTTCGTAAATCGTATTGGAGTGGCTGCATGAAGGCTGCGACAGTGATTTGTCAGCAGATTTTCTCCATTTTGGCGCTAGTAATTTTCCTTTTAAAAATCCTTTTAAAAAGTGCTTCAAAATCGTCTTTTTTTTCGCTCTGGCGTCGAGATCCGGTTTTGGACCTGCAATTTCCGACCCAGTTGCGCGTAGTTCTATTGTGTTTTGCAACTCAGTCTCCGCAGATCGCATTGTAATAGCTGCGTCAAGGTTGCTTCATGCTGAGGCTGCATGCGTAATACTATTGTCTTTTGCAGCTGAACTTCGTAAATCGTATTGGAGTGGCTGCATGAAGGCTGCGACAGTGATTTGTCAGCAGATTTCCTCCATTTTGGCGCTAGTAATTTTCCTTTTAAAAATCCTTTTAAAAAGTGCTTCAAAATCGTCTTTTTTTTCGCTCTGGCGTCGAGATCCGGTTTTGGAGCTACAATTTTCCGACGCCGTTGCACGTAGGTTTAGAGCAGTGAAGTGTGGGGCGTGAAGAGTGCAGTGTGAAGTGTGCAGTGTGAAGGAAGCAGTGGGAAGTGAGAAGTGTGAAGTGTGGAGTGTGAAGTTTAAGTTTGGAGTGTGAAGGAAGCAGTGAGAAGTGACAAGTGTGGAGTGTGAAGTAATTCCATCGTTCGTGCGGTTGTATGTTGATAACCTCCATAAAATGACCACCGTGACTTTGATTAGTGTGACCATACCTGATGTGACTGTGACTGTGACTATTCTGATCATGACTACTGTGACCATAGATACTATGACAAAGACTACTTTGACAATGACCGTTGTGGCTGTAACTGTAGTGACAATGAGTATTGTAACTGTTTGGACTGGCCCCTTTTTAGGTAATGACAGTGGGAAGTAGAAGTGACGGCATTAGTGTCCCAAGAATAAATGACTAGAAAGTGAAGTGTGGACTGTGAAGTGTGGAGTGTGAAGTTTGGAGTGCAAAGAGTGCAGTGTGAAGTGTGGAGTGTGGAGTGTGAAGTGTGAAGTTTGGAGTGTGAAGGAAGCAGTGAGCAGTAAGAAGTGTGAAGTGTGGACTGTGAAGTGTGAAGTGTGAAATGTGGAATGTGAAGTGCGAAGTGAGTGTGAAGTGTGAAGTTTGGAGTGTGAAGGAAGCAGTGAGCAGTGAGCAGTGAGAAGTGTGAAGTGTGGACTGTGAAGTGTGAAGTGTGAAATGTGGAGTGTGAAGTGCGAAGTGAGAAGTGTGAAGTGTGAAGTGTGGAGTGTGAAGTGCAAAGTGAGAAGTGTGAAGTGTGAGGTTTGGAGTGTGAAGGAAGCAGTGCGAAGTGAGAAGTGTGAAGTGTGGACTGTGAAGTGTGGAGTGTGAAGTGTGGAGTGTGAAGTGCGAAGTGAGAAGTGTGAAGTGTGAAGTTTGGAGTGTGAAGGAAGCAGTGAGAAGTGAGAAGTGTGGACTGTGAAGTGCGAAGTGTGAAGTGTGGAGTGTGAAGTTTGGATTGTGAAGGAAGCAGTGAGAAGTGAGAAGTGTGAAGTGTGGACTGTGGAGTGTGAAGTTTGGAGTGCGAAGAGTGAAGTGTGAAGTGTGGAGTGTGAAGACTTTGCTTCGTCTCTCGCTGAAAAAAAAAACCGCTTGTCCAGGGAAGGACACGCTCGGGACAGGCTGGCCTTGAACTATAGGTCATTTATTCTTGGGAAACTTCCGCCGCCGGCTTGCCCGGGTCTATGTTATATATATATATTATTCAATTATAATTCATATATCTTATCCAGTGATAGACGAAGTATCACAATGATACATAAGCCGCTTGTTTCCTCCACGTGGCTGCCGTGCCTTCTTCTGGCGGATCACCACGCCCTTCAGGACCTTCTTGCGCAGCTCGGGCTTGCCCTTCTTGACGCTGCAGAGGACCAGATCCCCAGGGGAGCAGTTCCTGGCAGAAAAAGACACAGCGGGGGAAATGGATGCTATGAAGGTTGCAGTTGTCCATAAACTCATGGAATTTGTATGGATATGATGTCACTACCGTGTCACCAAACTAAATGGACCCTGAATCGCCCCAAAATTGATGGACATGGATGCCAATGTTCCTTACCAGTCTTGAAGGGCGGTTCTTTCGGATTGATTTGGGAGACCACCAGCACCTATTATGCATATAATCTCATACAATTAAGATTTGCAATCTCAAAGTATTATTTCTGGCAAAGTTCGGAAGCTTGTTCAAGCGCCCGCCGATGCCAATCACCGCAAAGATGTAGAGGTTCCTTCCAAGTTCAGGTATAGCCAGGAACCCGTCCCCGCAAATACCTCACCAATGGTATACATTGATAATTTAACTCATAATCTTTCAAGCAAAGAACCCAGTTGGGACCACTAAAACGATGGCTGGACCAAGAAGGGTACTGTAGATCCATGGTGTTCCACGGCAAACATTTTGAACAGTCGGATAAAAATTCAACTGTTCCGAACAGTCATGGGGGTGGTAAATACGAAAAGTAGCTCTAAACTTCAAAGATTCCTTTAAAAAAATTAAAAACAAATTGGAGGTTTCCTAAAATTGGGGTACCTCCAAATCAATCCAGATCATCCATCGTAGGGATGTTCCATTCATTTCCAGTCGAAACCATCCAGCTATAGACGGGTCACTTGGCTCCACTGTTGTCAGCACAGTTCAACAGGGAGGCCACGCTGCAACCCTGCGCCATGCGCATCTTACCTGACTCATTACACTGGAACTTCCACCGGCTGCAGTCCAGATGGCAGGAACTATGACGTAACTGTGGCTACTTATTGATGTCGACTATATATATACCATCAATAAACTGGCTATGTTCAATCAGTCTCAGACGTTTTGGTGATGTGTGCTGTTGCTCCATTCAATGCCTAAAAAGAATAAACAACGGGTCACCAAGGTTGAAGTACATGAGTCTCAAGTCTCAAGTATCCAACAATTTCAAGGCCGGAGGGCACAGCTTAGGGCAAGAGTACCAAAGAAACCAACAGGTCATCTTGATTCATCTTGTACATCCAACCTTCGTTTGGGGGGCCACTTGCTTCTCTAAAGTTTTAGCTGTGCCCGAACCTCGAAATTTCAAAGTCCCGAGATCCCGCGCTGAATCCGAGTGGCATTGCTTGGCCGCACGTCCCTTCTTCATCAGAGCAATGATGCGGCCCGATTTCTATGGGTTGCTCGAGCCACCGGGAGCTTCGTTCCCAAGTTAGTCCATGAACTGCGGAACTGTAGGCTGATATGGATGGATTTTCCATTCTTCCCATTTCTCACCATCCCAAACTTCCACATTTGGTACCACTGAAATGGGATGTTGAAAAATGACACCACCAGCCACCAAGTGTTTGTGCCAAGCTGCCGTTGAGCAAGTCCTTAAGCTGGGAGTGTGCGGTTTGCACTCTTGGCAGTCACTCTGGGGAAGTCACATACTATATAGGGAATTGTTTTTTGCATATATATATATAACATATAGAGAAGGAGAGAGAGAGACAGAGAGAGAGAGAGAGAGATTATATCAAATGTAAAACTTTGATGCGACTCTTCATTACATCTGCGTCAATTGACCCTCTAGTCATATGACCAAAATCAATCAAAATCAGGGATTTGCATTTTCTCCATTAGTGTCCCCAAAAACTGTCCAAGTGTTTGGGGTAGCAACATATTGACCCATACCGAATACCGGTGCAGCCAACATTTTTTTCCCACAAAGTGATGCACCCTCGTTGATTGAGAGGAGCACCCAACAAAGGACACTATGGACCACGGGCCGAACACTCCCGAATGCAGATCCAAAAGGAATGAGGAGGAGTTTCTAGACGTAGAACCTTAGATATAATTACTTTGATATGTACTGGGACAGTGACAGAACTCTGGAAGTATTCCGAGGCACCTTCGGAGGCACCTACCACCATCCAGAACCATCCATTGGCATCTGAAGTCTAGATGCTGCCCGAGGCACTACAATGGAAACGAAGTCGGAACTGCTGAGTGCCAGAATGATGACCAACCTAAAGTGAAAACGGGAGCGCGGCAGAAGCTGCTCAAAGAGGTCAACAAACTGTTTTTGTTTCTGGGGGGTAAACATGCCAACATTTCCACGGTTCTTGGGGCCAGTCCCTTGGGTGATGGCAGTTTCCTGAGAATCCAGGCCCAGTGCCCAAGCCGACCAGGGGGGTGTTGTAACCTCGGGACCACTCCGCCACTGGACATTTGGGTGGAACCCCAATCTGGAAACCGCCAAGAAACATGTGCATTTGTTTTCGTTCGGTCTTTCTGATATGTCAATCAGGTCATCACTGCAACAAAACATGGGAGCACTATCGACGCTTTTTCTCAAGTCGAGCAGTCAAGAGTCGGTGTGCCATGGCCTCTCTATAGTGTTGAAAGGAGAAAAAATTGGTTGGAGGATACCTGTGGGCTTTCCTCGTAAATATTCAATACAACAAAGGATCAGATCCCACCTACATAGGCAGGATACTAATTAGTCTTTTCAGATCTTTTCAGCCCCTTCTAGGTGTCGCAGATTCTACAGATCTCTATAACTACTATAGTTTTCATCTTGATGTATGAGTTCAGGCAGGCGCACGCGAATCCAGAATTTGATTCATCAGTTCCCTCAGGGCCACTGTGGCGTCCGGCAAGCGCACCATCAACTCCTGGGGGTTACGGTAAGGGCATGGCCGATACCAACACATCACCACATTTGGTTAATGGCAGTCATCTACCAAACCAACACACACACAGAGATACATATATATATATACTATATATATATACTATATATATATATATATACTATATATATATACTATATATATATACTATATACACGATACATACATGATTTGCGCTCTGCTGGAAAACCATATGTAACCCATATGTAACCCACTACAGCAGGTTGCTATAGAAATGTGGAAATCAATCCTCCAAATCGATGAACGATTCGAACGTCAGGCCTTGCCAGTGGATGTGCTTAACGGCTGGAGGAGCTGCAAGAAGTCGTACTTCTGCGATGGACCTCAGCGCATCAATCTGAGATGGACCTGTTGAGCGGCTTTAGCAGCCGTATTATAACATGTGTTTGTAAATGTTTGTAATAAAGGATGAGGAAGGAAACAATGCACTTTATATATTTTATATATTTTTATATTATTTTATTACTTTATCTATGTGGAATATTCATGCATATTCCAACCATGACCTGCATGTGGTCTGTTGGACTCAGCAAACTTATCTAGCCACGCAAGGCCACGGAGTTGACATCCTGAGACCTCTGTCAAATTCTCTGAAGATCCATCCAAAATCCCATCAAATTTCCGTAAACTCTCTTAAGCCCCATTAAGCCCCGATAGATTTTCCAGGTTCCAGTTCTAGTCCAGGGGACTCAAGGCACCATCCTCTTGCCACAATGGCAAAGGCAGCATGGTGCTTTCCAAAGCCCTCAACTTGTCCACCATTTCCTAGCAGCATCCCAGGGAGGGTCATACATCTTCGAAAATTGGAGGGGCAATGTCTTGGAAGCACTACACAATTACATGCCTAGTGATGGAAGCGTCAATCCATCATGTTCCGGTGTGTCATCATCTTTTTTTCCTACTGACTGAGTCTGGCCTGGCACATGGGATGCCTCACCAATCTCTGTGGCAAATCCTGTGGTTCCAGTTCGATCCATCAGGGACAAAAAGGGCTGAAAATCCTGCAGCCGAGGCACATGCAGCACGGCTTGCATGGCACCTCAGCCGACCCCAGGGCCCCTCCGAGGCTGCGGATAGATGGACAATGGATGAAGGAATAGGATGGAATAGATCTGCACTGTGACGCCAATTACGTCGATGAGTATATGGATTATTATATGAAGAACTATGAAGAACATATAATTATACATCAAACGCATCTCTGATGGCCAAAGGATCAAGAATTGGATGCAGCCAAAGGCTTTCAAACAGATCCTTGACTTGGAAAACCTCCGGTAAAAAATGTACTGCTACCGAACTTCAACATGGAACATCATTTAATGTAATTATATCATATATTATATAATATATCATAATGCGTTCCAACGGCTTCCACAATACAACTAACACTATCAGAGCCCTGGGACGGTCAAAGATGTCAGGCCAGGCGCTGACTTCCTCATCTTCCAGCATGATGCCCAGCTGCTTCAACCTGAAACCATCTAAAACCCAGGTCTGCTGACAACACGATAGAGAGACACCGAGACACCTATAAAAACGTGCCAAATAGGTTCTAGCACGAAACCATCACCTACTTGGAGGTTGTTGCGCTTCAAGCCCAGTCCAAGGAACATCTCCAATCGTGGCAAGGTCCTCATCTGCCACAGTGACATCAGCAGGTGCACACGCGCAAAGAAGGCCTGGCCCCAAGTACCCCTAAGATGGCCTGATAAGTTTGACAGGGCCTAATGCATCCTAGTGACTTTTGGGGTCTTGGAGGTTATTAATTGGATATTATTGGGATATTCTTGGATTTTGGAGGTCCACAATTCTTTCGGCACAGGTGGTGGCCCACAGACTCAGTGGCACGACAATTGTGACATGATATTTGATGACAATTGATTCTGGCCGCTAGTGACTCAATATTTCCATATATGTCCCAAACGAATCAGAAAAATCAGAAAAATCATTACATGTAAGTGGTTTTGTCAAGTTATTTTGTTCCAAAACATCATATGCCAGGCCCATACCCTTTGCCTGCAAGTCTTGCCGACGACGTTCCACCCGTTGGGTCGTTGCCTGCACGTCACAGGGTCACAAGATGAATTTTGGGTTATAAAATGTTTAGCATGTTTGGCAAAGCAGTTGGCACAAGGCTAGTGGCCGATTGCACCTCCTAAGTACTTTTTGGAATTTCAGGCATTTCAGGACAAATTCTGCTCATGCACATCTAATCATCAATAATCATCAAGCATGTACGGCATAGAATTTCGGGCCAAATTACAACACTTTCCAAGGTCCAATCAGCCAATATCAGCCAGGATTGCGCCTTCATCTCTGCAATCTGCTGTTCAAGGCGCTGCACGCTGTCCTTGCATCGGTTGGGGGTACCATTAGACGGCCATTTCTTTGTTGGAAGGCCTTGTGCACATGCAACTTTGGTGTTCATCCATGTTCATCCTGGATAATAAGGAATCATTACATGAATGTGGGAAACCCAAAGCCATAAAGCTACTGTAGCATTTGGGGATGGTTTGTAGCACCCATTTATGGTGATTTTGGGGATGGTTTGTAGCTGTGGTCCAATGGATATCAACCAGCTTCCAACCAAGCCCCAGCTGCAGCTAGTTTCGTTCGTCGCCGAGGGTCGATGTCCAGAAAGTCGTAGAGGACGAAGGCTAAGCAGCAGCTACTGACCGACAAACTCGCAATGATCACCTGACGGACATGGAACTCGTGGAACTCGTAGAACCAAATGGTGGATGCCACAGAGGATGGAACTACTAGAGGATCAAAATGGATCAAACCAATACCTTGGCGGTTCGTTTGCATTTGAACTTAGGGCGGTCATTATTGTTTTGGGATGATCAATTCCCAAGACAAGGGGGTTGAGCATCAAATTGGCTCAGGGGCGTACAGTTTGGCTTAGCTTGGAAGAATGAAGTCTAGGTCAGGTTGGGAGCCCAGGGTTCAGTCGGATCTCCAATGACTGCAAATTCCGGGAGGGTTCAATGGAATGATTTGCATCTGAGGGGCATCATCCTAGGAAACAAAAGGAAACAAAAATAGGATTCAATCATATTCAATCATATGGGTATGTCTGAAAATGGGGTATACCCCCAATTATAGCCATTTAGTAGGGATAATGATCACTAACCATTGGGTGTAGGGGTACACTATTTTCAGACAAACCCATATTCAATCATTCAATCACTCGGAGCATCCCGGAGTACCGAATAGTGTAGTGGCATGTAGTAGTGGCCAGCGGCTATCAATCACCATGACAGCAACCAATGCCGGAGACATGACAAAAGAGCTGCATCGTTAACGCACATCATCTACAACCATTTTGGTGCCACAATCATCCACAATCATCCACAACCGATGACCAGATTATAGGCAATGGCTAGATCTTAGAAATCATTGCATCTCATCTCTTTTGGTTAAGATTATATAGTTCCCAACTGCCCATTTTCCAGATCTGAGGAACGTGAGAAGGATCACCTGGCAGTGTCAACCACACTTTGGGTTGGCTGGCAGGGACTGGTATTGGGCAAACCGATCGGCTCTAGTAATGCATAGAACACGATAGATGTGAGAGCAACATGAGCAACTCTGTTCTTTTCCAGGTCTGACCCCCCAACACCCCAAGATCATACACCCGCACAAGAACACTAAGATCACTAAGAATGCTCAATTTGAAACCGCCGCTGCCGTCTGTTTCTTCATCACAAACCTTCTGGCAATGGGTCAGTTTCAGGCTCTAGGTCCAGGGCACCGCCCTCAGAACCGGAGCTCTGCTCACCATCTGAGGTTTAGTTTGCCTATGGAAAGTCTGTTTAGACCTGTTGATTACTCCCAAAAAATGGTATAAAATGGTCCCCAAAAGCAGCAGGTTCAGATGGAATCCCAGAGCTGGGATCCCCGGCTGAGGAGGACATTCAAAGTGACGAACACTAGGCTGAAGAAGAAACTCAGCAGCCTCTGGACCAAGTCACTAAATTCATTTCTTTCGCAAATAATGCAGAAAATTACCCAGCTTGCCTATGGGCCTATGGCTTCTTTATCATCCAAAGATTCATCTCAGGCATGTCCGAAACCTTCACAACTTTTGTTCTATGCGCTCTTCTCTATCGAAATCTCTTTCGCGAAACTTTCGCGGTGTGCATTTTGCTTTTGCGGAATCCATGTGTCGGAAATTCACTTTTGCGGAGCCTTCGCGGATATAGTACTCAAAGATATATACAGATATTCGCGCCCTTGAAATAGACCTATATATTTGCTTGAAGAACAGGGAGAATACCACCGGCCCGCTAGCTAAGGGGCCACACATGCGTGTCATTCCCTGAAATCAGCCATTTGTTGGGATGATTTCCCCCCACCATCACATTGTGGTGAGGTCATTGTATATATTGTATAGTTATGAGCTCATTGAATGGGATATATATATATCCATATATATATATACATATAGATATTATTAGATATTGATATATGCCAAATATGACTAAATACTATGGTGTTCATGGATCGATACTAGGGAAAACCGCAGCCACCATTCTGCCCGCTGGGTCCGGTCGCTTCTAAACCCTGAGAGCCCAACAGTGAGCAATGCTCTGGTGATAGGAGGATGAAAATCAACAGCAAACCTCAGCACCAGGCAGCTTAGCTTCCCTTGGGCCCCCATTCTCAAGCGATTTCTGGCCAACAGAAACTGGTGAATCTGGAGGAATAATTTCTGCAGTTTGTCAAGCTTTTAAATTCATCATGCGATTCACCCAATTCACCCATGTTGCCAAACTTACTTGCTGCAGTACCAGTAATCAAAGGCAACAACTGAAAGCGCATGGGATTGCTCGCAAACTTTGGCAGTACAGGAACTCATTACCCGCTCCAATGGTGTCACAAGCGGCGCTCCAATCCCAGCGACATCTGAAGCGCACGGGGAAGCGATCCTCATCCTCACCCACTTCCACGCCACAGCCAACACCCAGCCTGGCGGTTTGCTTCCAACACCCAGGCCGTGTAGCTGTGAGAGGTAGAGAAGCCATGAGTCACTGTTTTTGGCAATCGCCCAGTATATACAAACGCACATAGAAATCCCTGTTGGCCATGGGTTCAAGCCAAACGATTTTTCATCATGCCATATCATGCCAAATTCTACAGTGCTGCACAAACCTGGAGCCAAGTAGGATTGAAAACGGGCCCATGTGGAGCAATTTGATTACCAGCATCTCACCTGGTACCTCAATGCAACCGGATGGTCATGGGTCATGGGATGTCATGGGTATCTCACTCCATTTTTGCTTCAAAAACTTTGGACCCCCATGGATCCCCATGGTCCGCCATCAGCCAAAAAGCTGAAACTTGAACCAGAAGGACTCGAGTTTCTCCCTTTCCTCCATGGCTGGCATTGCCAGAATCTCGGCCTGGGCGGTTCGCAACACGGGATTTGGATGGGTTGAATATATCCAGGAGAAAGAACACATATCAAACACACATACTTTGCACTCATAAAACTAATTCATCATTATTCCCTCTTCGCGTACCACAAATCAAACACATAATCAAACATAAACAATGCTCAGCACCATGCGGATCTCAGTTGAGTATGACCGTTCTGTCCCCACCAAGAGCAGCCAACAAAGGTGACAGGCCTCGGCTTTGGTATCGGTTCCCTGCTCTTCATCTGGACGAGTCTTGGCAAATCCTCAGGAGGAACTGCATCCGGTGGATCACTGTGTGGGGTCAACACTTTTTGCGACCCCAAAATCCACCATGTTGACCATGTTGTGGTCCTTCAGGATGGCTAGCCCCTGGTGAAGGATACCTTTTCTTGATATCGCTATAAGTAGCACATATCCGATGTATTCCGTGAGCCGCCCAGGGGCCCACGACCTGGGCCCATCTGTATACCAAGCAACTGGAGAGGCCCGTGAATTTCAGGGCCTTCCGCTGCATCACCACCATGCTCTTCCATGCCCTTTTGATGTTCAAAATGTCCTGAAAGACGGGCCACCATATGGGCCATCAGGAAGAGAGTTCCCCTATTGGTGGCGAATAATCCTTGACTGCTGGGTCAGTCCATGTTTTCCCTTCAAGGGGATCATTTATTAGGGGCAATCTGACCGTGCACCCGTAGCGTTTTCCGGTGAGGCTGGTCCTTCTTGCCCTCTTCCACGTTGTCTTTGATGAAGCGAATTTCGTTGGCCTGCCCCATCAAGTTTCTCACTGGTTGGTCTAGGAAATTCTCACCAGCAGGACCATCAAAGACCCACTGGCCATATGAAAGGCAACGCAAATCAAATCAGCAGAAAATGCAATCGATTTGGGCCATATCACAGCATCAGAACCACGCACCTGAAAACGCTAGTCAAATCTACTTAAGCATCTTTGAGGCCCATTGGTCTCAATAATTCAACTGATAAAGTAATGAATCTGATGCTTTCCGCAATCTGAAGAAACCATCAGTGCTGGTAAGATGGACCAAGGTACCTTCACCACCAGACTGAGACGTTCTGCCAACTCCGGCGCGCCCAAACGCAGCAGTTCCGCCTAACGCTTGGAGGTGGTTTTGATGTTTTTCTCCCCTGAAAAGATTGACATAACAACATTTAATAGTTATATTATTGGGGAAATATGAGGAAATAATTGGAAATATGACCTAGACATATTACCAACTACAATGGTTATACATACAGGGTACCTTATGTATTCTGAGGTCTCAAACAGTTGAAACAAATCAATGGAGCATGCAAGATCAGCAACATTAACCAACTATAATGAGCACACATACTGGGTATTGAACCCGTGTTTGATGATGCTTTATGGGTTTTGGTCCAAATGCAGCTACTGGGCTACTGAGGATACATAAGTTGTCACATGTGTTTAGTCTCCTGTCCTTGGCTGGTGCCCTCAAGTTGTCCCCCAAATATGCAAAAACAGATCATTCCTATGAAAAAAAATCCGAGACTTCAAACATCATATAATATAATATAATATAATATACTATACTATAATATATATATATATTCAACTGGGTTCATCATTCCAAAAAAAACGAAGTTAGAAAACTTCCAGCCACCAAGCAGTGCCAAAGATTCCAGACCCCTGCCTCCCCAATGACCGTGTAGGGTCTGCCCACCGGATCCTCAGCAGGAAATCCGTCTGTTGGATGACAAAAACCATGGGTTTCCTATAGATGTTCCCAATCCATTGGCAAATACATCCATACTCATTCATATTCTGGAAAATTCTGGAAAATCATATCCGTATATTTACATGATCCCCCTTATAATATTAAGTTGAACCCGGGGGGCGCCATTTTATAAGAAATTCCTTATGAAATGGGAGTTCCACGGGAAAAATTCCTTATAGAATGCATATAATTCAGGAGAAGCAATATAGGGAACTCCAATTAGCATTTTATAAGAAAAAACGCATTCTTATAATATGACAGACCAGAGTCCAAAAAAACGGCTTATAGATCGTGGCCCAGACAATTTACTTTTTTGGTGATTACCCGATATACATTTTATAAGGTGGGAGTGGAAATTTCACAAATTATCAGAGATTTATACTGAAAGTGACAAACTGTCATTCTATAAGGCACCTCCAGGGCATCTTATAAGAACAAAAACTGTGCAAACCTGATTTCTCCGGGATTCTCCGGGTATGTTTTTCTCAGTTTGTGCTGGTAAAACCTGTAATTATCAAAAGAAATTGTTTATATTGCAAAGATTTGCAAAGTAAGTGTACCTTATATAATGGATATTCAATAAAAACAAACATGAATCTTGCACGCATGCAATAAGCTTTTGAAACATTATAAAATGGCAAATAGTGATTCAGGTCACTGCTACAACAATAGGCATAATATAAGAAACCAAAACAACTTACTACCTGCAGGCGGCCTGCCTGTTATAAAATGATAATCGTACTTTGTGGTAAGGAAGATATGACATTATTGTCATTTTATAGTTGCATAATACTACATATAACTACTATATACATCTATATGCATCGTTGTGCATCTAGATACATGTATATTATACATGTTTAACACCTTTATACATCTAATAGACATCTAATATATATAAAAGAAAGTACGAGAACATAGAATACAGAATTTTGAAAAACAGGTTTTGGGGCATCTTCCATAATTGGAAAAAAAACGGTGTACATAGAATATCCCAGGAGTGTACATAGAATAATTTTAATTCTGGAAGATGTTTTTTTTGTTTTTTTTTTAATTATCAAATTTTCACCCGTACTGTAGCATAAATGGACATAAGTGGACATTGTTCAAATTGTCATCTCACTAAAATCCTTTGGATTATCAAAATATCACTCATACTGCAGCATAAATGGACATAAATGAACAGTTTTCAAATTTTCACCACGCCAAAATCCTTTGAATTATCAAAATATCATCCGTGCTGCGGCCTAAATGGACATAAATGATCATTTTTTAACTTTCACCCCACTAAAATTGTTTGAATTATCAACATATAACCCGTGCTGCAGCATAAATGGTCATAAATGGATATTTTTCAAATTTTTCACCCCACTAAAATCCACCAGAACACAATAGAATCCCTCACAAAATTGTTCAAGCTCACCGAAGGGTGCCCCCCACGACCGGTGTCGAAGGACTATTAAAAAGAAACTATTTTGCAATGGAAAATAATGAAAACCAATGGAATTAGGCGGTGTTCCTGAAAAAATGGATGAATATTTTCACTGGGGACCTATATTCTATGATATTCTATGTATGTAGTGGCTGCATTTGGCTACGTCATTGGCGCTGAGTGCCTTCCCAAACTTTGAGGAGGCCCAGCAAGGCCACCTCCATAGCTATACATCTAAATTGGGCAGTTGAAAATAATCATCTTTTGTGTATAAAAACATTTTTTCCGTGAAAAAAAACAATTTGCTGTGAACACATTCTGATTTTCAGTGATGTTTAAGGACATGAGGTGTAAGTTTTTATCAAACTTACAGTTTTGAGGTGTGAGTTTACATCAAACCTACACTAAATTTACATATCAGGAGTGTAACTTTGATGTAAACTTACATGCACAAGTGTAAATTTGATGAACACTTACATGTTTGAGGTGTCAGCTTACACCAAACTTACATTTACAAGTATAAGTTTACACTTTTGCGTGTAAGTTTGATATAAATTTACAGTGTTGACATGTAAGTTTGATGTAAATTTATACTTATACTTATGATTTATGATGTGTAAGTTTAGTGTTAGTGTAAATTTGATGTAAACTTACACATCAAAAAGTGCAACTTTGATGCAAATTTACATCAAATTTACACCTCATGTCCTTAAGGGTTCCCGTCCCTGCCGCCAACCCCAGAACAAAAAAAAACACAAACATTGAATCATTGATGTATCGTATTTGCTGACCCAACCAACTTTCATGGGAACACTCCTAACAGTTTTTTATACCATTTTTTATGCGAACACTCCCAACATTTCTGTATAGAATTTTGCTTTTATGCATCCCCCCGTTCTCATAGACACCCTAAGACATGTAAGACACTCACTTCTTTGCAAAACTTCATACATAGAATAGAAGTCCCAAGGGAAGATTCATCCGAGGAACACCACCTAATTGCATTGGTTTTCATTGCCAAATAGAATTTATCATTTTTCTACGGGACCAGTCATGGGGGTACGTACCCTTAGGTGAGTTTGAAAAACTATTTTTTTCAATACAAAATCAAAATAAATTGATCATTTCGGGGGACCCGTTTTTTTTCTTTATTTTCCAGTTCAGGAGCTTCAGACATCCAGGGTTGCCTCCCTCCAAAGGGAATGATGTATGTAATATATACCCTTATACATGTAAGAGACTCAATTCCTTGCAGAACTACATACATAGAATTTAAGGGGCGATGATTTTTTTATTTTGTTTTCAGTCTGGGGCAGTTTTCCTTGCTATTTGCTACATTTTGGGGCTAAAATCTCTGATTTGCGTGCTATTTGCTGCATTTTGGAACCAAAATCTCTCTGATTTGCGTGCTATTTGCTGCGTTTTTGAACTAACATCTCTCATTCTGCATGCTATTTGCAGCATTTCGGAACTGAAGTCGCAAACTTGGGTAAATAAATCGTAAATTTGCCCGATAATTGCAACATTTTAGTTTCGCCCATTTTCCCATGGGTTTTCAACGATGTCTGGATGGTTTTCATCGTTTTTTTGATCGTCTTCAATGGTCTTTCCGTGGTTTCAAAGATTCTTTAGGGTTTCTTGTAGGGTTCTTGAGGGTTTAGGGTTTCATTATGAAAGTTTTATTTAGGGTTTCTTTAGCGTTTGATTCAGGGTTTCTTTAGGGTTTCATTTAGGGTTTTTTTAGGGTGTCGTTTTTGGTTTCTCTGGAATGTCTTTTGAGGTCTCTTTAAGGTTTCTTTAAAATTTAATCTATTTTTTTTGAAGGTTTCAGACATCTAAGGTTTCTTTAGGTTTTAAAGTTCTATTTAGGGTTTCTTTCGGCTTTAGGGTTTCTGTAGGGTTTTTTTAAGTTTTATTTAGGGTTTCATTTCGGGTTCCTTTACGGTTTTCTTTCGGTGTTATTTTAAGGTTTCATTTAGGTTTTCTTTGTTTTTTTTTGTGTTTTTTTAAAGGTTTCTTTAGAGTGTCGTTTAATCGTTTATATAATGTCTGCTGGGGGTTCGTCGGGGACACATTGGCCAGGGGCAGCCCTTCTGAAATGCTAGTCCCAAGCTGCGTAGGTATCTTAATGTTGGCTCCTGATTAGTAGCTAGGTTCGCTATTGTGGCAAATTTTCTCCAAATTATTCTGAAACCCATGTATTGTTTGGAGGGCTCACTTTTGTGGAAAAAAAAATGGTAGATTTTTTTTGGAAAAAAACAACCTGTAATTGCGAAGAGGAAGACGTTTTTTCCAAAAGCAATTGCCAAATTCGAACTCCAAGCCTTTCCCAAAGGAGCAAATCCCTTATTAAACCCTTATTAAAGAACAGCTTTTCCACAATTTTCCAAGGCCCTGGACCAGGAGAGGCTCCATTTCACTTTAGAAGGTTTGTTTGCTGGGCTCACTATTGTAGCAAGCTGTGCCAGAGCAGCTCCTGGAAGCCCAAAAGAGAAGCAAGCCTTTTCCAAAAGCAATTGCCAAATTAAAACCCCAAGCCTTTCCCAAAGGGGCCAATCCCTTATTAAACCCTTATTAAAGAACAACTTTTCCACAATTTTCCAAGGCCCTGGACCAGGAGAGGCTCCATTTCACTTTAGTAGGTTTGTTTGCTGGGTTCACTATTGGCAAGCTGTGCCAGAGCAGCTCCTGGAAGCCCAAAAGAGAAGCAAGCCTTTTCCAAAAGCAATTGCCAAATTCGAACTCCAAGCCTTTCCCAAAGGAGCAAATCCCTTGTTAAACCCTTATTAAAGAACAGCTTTTTCATAATTTTCCAAGGCCCTGGACCCGGAGAGGCTCCATTTCACTTTAGTAGGTTTGTTTGCTGGGTTCACTATTGTAGCAAGCTGTGCAAGCTGTGGGTACTACAAGTACTACAAGTACTACAGGTACTACAAGTACTACAGGTACTACAGGTACTACAAGTACTACAAGTACTACAAGTACTACAGGTACTACAAGTACAACAAGTACTACAGGTACTACAACTGCAAGTACTACAAGTACTACAAGTGCTACCAGTACTACAAGTACTGCAAGTACTACAGGTACTACAAGTGCTACAGGTACTACAAGTACTACAAGTACTACAGGTACTACAAATACTACAAGTATTACAAGTACTACACGTACTACAAGTACTACAAGTACTACAAGTACTACAAGTACTACAGGTACTACCAGTACTACAAGTACTACAAGTACCACAAGTTCATCGGCAAAAAACAGTTTTAATTAGATTTCAATTGTAGCCAATTGAAATCCTTACTTAAGTGAGGATTTGCTTTTCTCTTGGGAAGAAAATTTTTGACTTTCCACCTTAAAGAGAGTCTATATATTGTGTGGGGGAGGGAGGGGCCTCACACTAATCAGGAACCAACATTACAGCGTGCAAATTGTCATTTCATAATGGTGTTTTTCAAAAGACCTTCAGTCTTTGCCTCTTGTTGGATGTTCATGGATGGTCGTGGCTGGTCACGGA